AGACAGTGAGAAGCCATGTGCTTCTATGCGGCGCTTCTTATTCTTATCAGTTTTTTTTTTTTTTTGGTTATACTCTCTCTCTTCCTCCATTAACGTCTCTTTTCATTCTTTTGGCCTCAAGCTCTCACATTCACATCAACGTCTTAAACCGCTCCTTCGCACCGTTATTTCTATTTTTCAGGTGAACTTTCCTCTTCTTCTTCACCGAATTCATGGACAAATCTTCAACCTTAAGAATTATATAAAACTAAACATATAAGAATTGCTTCTAACTTCGTCAATGAGCGCCGTCAACCCTGTCCTTCTTGTCCCTTATGAATCTTGAAGCCGCGTTAAAGCGGGTCCCAGAGATCCTTCATCCCAGCGCACCCCCATGTTCTTCGAACCCTTTTCTATGATTTCAACGACTCAAAAATTGTATATTGCAAACAAACACAACCTCCAGTTGGTGTACCTCTCCATTAAATACGACCTTCTTTCATAGCTGATAGATAATAATTACTCTTCTTAGTTGCAGAGTTTTATCATTTTATATGAACTATAATATTCTTTTTCAAAGATTCTCATAGTTTTTTTTTGAAATCACAGCGCAATAACTTGAGGGCACAGCTGGATTTTCAGATTCGGATTTTATTTCTCCCTTATAATGGAGGAGGTATAGCAGCCCGCAAGTGAGATTTCGAAGTTTCGTATGCTTTTTCTTCACTTGTGGGGTCCTCTGTTTTTCTTACTCTGTTATTGACAGCCTAATCAACAGCCTGGAAACCTGTGCTTGTACCCACACTAAAAGGCTTCAACTTCATAATGGTCTTCCACTCACCAATTGGGTTCATGTAAATCTTACTTCTAGCTTCAACTCTTTCTCGTCTCTATCATATCTCTTCACCTGGCACCACATTATGCGCATTTTGCTCCTTCCATGAGGTAAGAACTCCTATATAGTTTCAGTCTATTTACGTCAGAAAACTCTAGCAAATAGGATCTGAACTTATCGCGGAGAAGAGCTTGTGTTTTTGAATGGTCTTGTGACGTTTTAAGTTCTGTCTACTACTTGTAAAAGTAATGTCTTCTTCTGGGCATTGAGCTGATCAGATCCGGTACTACTGCAGGTTTTGTGTATGTTGCCCACAAACTGCTTGACAATAGGATTTGCAGCGTTTTGCTCATTTTTGACGTAATTCTGAGGTGTCTGTGAATTTCCCGGCTGATTCGTTTTTTCTGTGAATCGGGTATTCGGCAACCCGTTTATGGATTAGTGAAGACCCGGAAGTTAAGATGGTGAAGGTGAACATAGTGAAGTGGGTTTCTTTTGTTCTGGTAGTGTTTTTGTTCTTGGTGGATGAGTCATTTGCCTCATACACCCCTCCTGATAATTATCTGATTGCTTGTGGTTCTTCTGAAAATATCACTTTCCAAGGTCGTACTTTTGTCCCTGATTCACAGCACTCTTCATTAGCATTGGAATCTGGGAATTCTGTTGCTGCTGCTAGTTCTAGTTCTCGTGCCCCATTCCCATTATACCAGTCAGCTCGGATTTTCACGGAGAAAGCTTCTTATAGCTTTGAAATTCAGCAACAAGGCCGTCACTGGGTCCGTCTGTACTTCTTCCCTGTTAAAAACCCTAGCCATGACTTGAATTCTGCCTCGTTAACTGTGGTCACTGGTGAATTTGTTCTCTTGAACAACTTCACCTTTAAGAACTACAATGGTTCTTATATGTTCAAGGAGTACGCAATCAATGTTACATCTGATAGCTTGACTCTTACCTTCCTTCCGTCAAATGGTTCGGTGGTTTTTGTCAATGGTATTGAAGTTGTATCAATGCCAAATGACTTGTTTGTTGATCAGGCATTGGCTTTAAGCCCATCAACCCCATTCAGTGGCCTTTCCGAGCTTGCTTTTGAAACTGTTTACCGGTTGAATATGGGAGGTCCTCTGCTTAATGCTCAAAATGATACCCTTGGAAGGACTTGGGAGAACGATCTGAAATACCTTCATGTGAATAGTTCTGTCCTTAATGTTTCAGTTAACCCTTCGACCATCAAGTATCCAGCTGGTGTTTCATCCGAGACTGCACCAAATTGGGTTTATGCCACTGCAGAAACGATGGGTGATGCAAATGTGGCTCAAAATACTTTCAACATTACTTGGGTCTTCCCTGTGGATCCAAACTTCTCTTATTTCATTCGGGCACACTTCTGTGATATTATGAGCATATCTCTCAATAGTTTAGTGTTTGATATGTTCATAAATTCTGATATAGCTCTTGGAGGTTTTGACCTCTCATCCATAACTGGTAACTTGGCTGTGCCTTACTACAAGGACTTCGTTTCCAATGCCTCCACAGAATCGAACACTTTGAGTGTAAGTGTTGGTCCAGATTCAATGGCAGACATGACAAACGCCACCATGAATGGGCTGGAGATAATGAAAATTAGCAATGCATTGAAGAGCTTGGACGGGCTATCTTCAGTGGATGGTCTTCTTCCTAGATCATCTTCGAAGGCGAACAAGATAGGAATAATAGTTGGTGCTGCTGTTGGAGCAGTAGCTGCTATAGCATTCGTCGGTTTGTGTTACTACTGCTGCTTTGTGAGACGCCGGTCAAAGTCCACTCAACAAGGTAATTCATGGCTGCCTTTGCCCCTATATGGAAACTCTCAGACCATGACAAAATCAACAATGTCACAGAAGAGTGGGACAGCAAGTTACATTTCTTTAGCCTCGACGAATATTGGGCGTTTCTTCAGTTTCCAAGAGATCCTAGATGCAACCAACAAATTTGATGAGAAGCTGCTTCTTGGAGTTGGTGGTTTTGGGAGGGTTTATAAAGGAACACTCGAAGATGGCACCAATGTAGCTGTCAAAAGAGGCAATCCCAGATCTGAACAAGGCATTGCTGAATTCAGAACTGAAATCGACATGTTGTCCAAGCTTCGCCATCGTCATCTTGTGTCTCTCATAGGCTATTGTGATGAGAGGTCAGAAATGATTCTTGTCTATGAATATATGGCTAATGGACCTCTTAGAAGCCATTTGTATGGAGCAGACCAGCCACCACTATCATGGAAGCAGCGGCTTGAAATTTGCATTGGAGCAGCTAGGGGCCTCCATTATCTTCACACTGGTGCAGCTCAAAGCATAATTCACAGAGACGTGAAGACAACAAACATCCTCTTGGATGACAATTTTGTTGCCAAAGTTGCTGACTTCGGCCTCTCAAAAACTGGCCCTGCTCTGGATCAGACCCATGTAAGCACTGCAGTGAAAGGCAGTTTCGGTTATCTTGACCCTGAGTACTTCAGAAGGCAACAACTCACAGAGAAATCAGATGTGTATTCATTTGGAGTAGTTCTAATGGAAGTATTATGCACAAGGCCAGCTTTGAATCCTGTCCTTCCAAGGGAGCAAGTTAACATAGCTGAGTGGGCGATGACCTGGCAGAAAAAGGGCATGCTTGATCAAATCATGGATCAAAATCTGGTGGGGAAGGTGAGTCCTGCTTCTCTTAAGAAGTTCGGCGAGACGGCCGAGAAATGCTTGGCCGAGCATGGTGTGGACAGGCCATCTATGGGAGATGTATTGTGGAATCTTGAATATGCTCTGCAGCTTCAAGAGACCTCTTCAGCACTCACAGAACCTGAAGATAATAGCACAAATCACATTACTGGAATTCAGCTGACTACGCTTGAGCCTTTTGATAACAGTGCAAGTATGATTGATATGGGTAACTCTGGCACAGATGATGATGCAGAAGATGCTGCCACAAGTGCAGTGTTCTCACAATTGGTAAATCCTCGAGGAAGATAAAATCTTCCTGTGTGTGTTCAGGGTCAATTCGAGCCTTGGGCCATCAAGTACAGTGGCCTTTTTGGCCTCGGAACAAGTTGAGAAAGTTCCTGATTGATGAATGGAGGTTTACCATCATTTCTCTATATTTTTTTAGTCCCTTTTTTTTTTCTTGCCCATAAACAATTCTTGTAACATAGTAAACTGCCGGGTGCAAATGAACCTGTCAGCAATTGCCTGCAAGGTACCATCAAGATTCTGTTGTTCTTTATATATATATCAAAGGAGTCAAACTTCCCTACTTCCCTTGTTTCACACATTGCAATATATGGACCTTGTAAGTTCTTTCGTTATGAAATCAATATAGAAAGTAAGGGTCTTCTTCCTAGTTCTGACTACTGATATTTAACTGAGTTGAATTCCTTTCTATTGCATTTTTCCTATCATACTTGATTATCTTTTCAACAACAACTACGGTTGCAGATTTCCTATTTATATGACCTGTGAAGGCAAGAAACTCGTCATATGAAAGAGAAACATCGTGAAAGGAAATAAACCATATCTATATTCATATAATCCATTTTCTTTTTCTGCATTGAAACAGATGAGTTCAAACCTTCTTCATATCTTGGATAGGTCTGATGTAACCCTGAAAAACTCTTTCTCTGCCTACACAAGTCCCCTCACCCAAGACGCAGAAGGGAGCGGGGCTTACGCAGCACAGCCTGTGGCAGGCCAAGTACGAGATGTGTTGGGGGTTTAAATTTTTATTTCTAGTATTTATCATCAATAATTTTTTATGTAATTTTATAATAGCAGAGAAAGGTCACTTGGAAATAAATTATGTGTAATAATATAAAAATAAAAAATAAAAAAGATATTAAATTTAAAATATATGGCCAACGTTTTTGAGAAGAAATTCAACAAAAAATCATAAAGATTATATTAAAAAAAATTTAAGTTATTAATAGTCATGAAGAGTAAGTATGATAACGATGAAAGCTTCAATACATTTATGCTGTCTTGTATATAGATAATTTAAAACGAAAATTGAGATAAATACATCGAAATTTATAGCAAAAATACAACATAAATTTGATCTTTTTCTTTTCTTTGTTGAAAAAATTGATCTTTTATAGGAAATGAAATTTCTCCATCATTTTATCAATAATTAATAATGAGGTAAACGAAAGGTTACACATAATTTTTATTCAAACCACGAAACTTAACGTAGATAAATATTTTCTTAATAAATATTCAAACATATAATTATTCCAGAATCACCAATGGTGATTTCCAGATTTTGTTTATCTTCTGCAGACTATACCATTCCCACTGTTGGCAACACCTCTGCAGTCTAACGTCTCATGTTCCGTCACTGGCTCTATCTTCTCTGGAAAAGCTTGAGCAGGGGAGAACAAACACACCCCACAATCCGCAGAAAGAAGTGAAGTTGTTCTGTACTTGTCTTCCCCTCCGACCACCGGCATTGCCACGCCCGGCTTCGCCGGATTCTCGAAATCCGGCTGGTAAGTCCTTCCAAGAACTCCTTCAACTTTAGGTGACAAGCCATGGAACTTAAATTGCACCTCCAGGTGAGCAAAGCAATCATCTTCAGGTATCTGATAGTTATGGATTCTACTGTCTTCCTTGGTCACAGGAACAACATTGACGGAAATCTCTGCAACTTCAGTAGTAAGCAAGATACTGTTCTTGCTTGAAGTTCTCTCCACCCTAATTTTTTTCTCTGGGGATTCCCAAACAGAGAAATGACCTTCTGGGATCATGAGTTCTTGTCCATTGTAAGAGAGCTTCAAGTGGTCAACTTCATCAGCCCATGTTGCTGCTGGGGTGGCTTCAATGGAGAATTTCTGAGAGTCAAAGAGGATTCCCAGTGCTTGAATCCAAGTGTAGTCCCTAGACCGGCCGGCCGGCCGGAGACCGATGAAACGGGCATTGATTTGCAGGTTGGTGTCTGATACCAAGGAGAAATGCTCGTTCTTCCTTCCATGGAAATAAAACACAATCCCATCTGCGCCAACAAAACGAGGGTCCAAGCATGCAGATCCACGCCCATTGCAGTTTGGTTTGCGTCCTGTTTCAAAATTTTCATGAGGAAAAGTAGTTCATAATCAAATAATAAAAGAATGAAGGGCCAAAGGCAGGATTTAATTAGAGTCCAAGATTTAAAAAAAAAAAACACACATATATACTATAGAATTTACATAAAACTGGCTAAAAACGTGTAACACTTTCACAACAATATGAAAAGATTGAAAATTTGAGGCCATAACTCCACTAATCCCCCGCCCTTCTACAAAATGGTCTTCATTGTGAGTTCAATTGAAAAACACAGAGGAAAAATTACTGAAAAATTTCCTATCGCAAAATTTATTATTCTAAATATCTAAAAACCTGATTTTTGAGTGGGTGTAACTCTTCTTCAATCTTTAGTTGTATGCAATATATCTTCAACTATATGCAAATGTCTTTTGTTTTGCACATAGTTAAAGATAGGTTGCACACAACTGAAGAAGAGTTGCACTCATTAAAAATACATTATATCTATGTCCCAAACAAATTTTACAATGAGGGAATTTTCAGCAATTTTCCCAAACACATATAACATAAAGTTTGCATAAATATTGAGGATCAGAAGCATACAATAGAACACTAAGAGAAAAATTGAAAATTTGTGGGGTTGCCAGCCTCTTACTTTTGCATTGAGCCTTGCAGATTGGAGAATCACAATCAACATAGCAGATTTTGGCCTTTGGATCAGAGGGCGAGGAAGAAGGGCACTGAGCTGGGCATTGAATCCTCTTCAAGAAGCATGGGCTCCTTCTGTTGGTGCATGTCTTGGTTTCTGCGTTAATCTGCATCACACAGAATGCAGCCAACAGCATCAGCGCCACACATATTGAATCTCTTCTGCTCAACATATCCATTGCCTTCTATTTCCTCTCTCTCTCTCTCTCTCAGATGCGTGGAAAATTAAAGGTGGCTGCCACTTATATATATACACTTAGAAATCAGCAAGATGTCATTTTTCTATTCAATTTCATGTGAGTGGGAGGGATGGATCTTGAATGCTTAATGGATTCTTAACTTGGTCAATACTATTACAAAAAAGCCAAAATTATAGTTGACTTTTGGTGCCTTTGAGAGATGGTAAACGCCTTCATATGATAATATGGAAGCAAATTAAAATGCATGGAATGATTCATTGGGATTATTGAAAGTGAAGAAATAGATTGTGAAATCGATAATCCCAGATGCATTGTTTGGGGGCAATATTGCTTCCATAAAGAAGTAATGTAGTTTTATTTTTAAGTTTTGATAATTCTTTTTTTTCCAAAAAGAAATTCTGTGGGTTTTCAGAATAATCTGAAGGGTGATTTTTGGAAAATGATATCAGCTTCTCCAAAGACGATGCGGTTATTTTTGCAATATTTTAGACGTCTGATGGAAACAAATTTCAAATTGTTATTAACTACTGGATTCTTCAATATGATTTTATTCCTAGAAATAAGACTAAAACATCCAATTATAAAATATTGTACAGCAAAAATAATAGTAACCTAAGCACATTTATTATATTAAAATTTTGATAACAAGGTCTTTGATATAATAATTACAAGAAAAATCACTCTCTGTCCCTTATAACAATTCAGAATATAAAAAGTCTCTTCAAATCACAAAAATATTCTGAAATTCGATGTCCTTTAATGATAAATAAGTTCTGCGTATATTTATCAAAATGTATTTAACTTTGAAAAAATGATCCTTCGTTCCATAAAGAGCAGCCAACTTCAGAGTACGTTAATGTTTTTCTTTTTTCTTTTGGAATGAAAAGCTGATTTACTAATTCAGCAAAACACCCCAGTACAAGGGGAACCAAGGGCTAAAAGTCCTCATTTCCTTCACCACCGTCCAACTCATAGCTAAGAGTGGGAGGGTGGTCAAGGATACAAAAATTACCATCCATCCTATGAGACATTTTTGCTAAAGCATCGTGTGTTAATGTTTCAATAGATTTATTTTTTATAGTAGTATTAGATATTGTTGTGTGGCATCTAAGAGTAATTTTCTCATAATCATATTCTATCATCTTTTGCAATCTTAAGTTACGTTGAGGAAGCGATGAAAATTAGAGATAGGAATTGAAATTGAGATTGAGAAAATCTATTTAAAAAGTGTTTAGTATAAGAGATTACTTGTTATATGAGATTAACCAAAATCATGTATGTGGGATTATCCCACCTATATGGGTTTGGCTAATCCCATGTAACAAGTAATTACTCATGTTAAATACTATTTTGATAATTATTTTTAATTGTAATTCCAATCATTATTTCTCATTTTCAATATTTCCTAGCAAATGGGACATTAGTTTATATAACTTATATCCCTCAAAGGGTGAAGCATGCCATGCGGCCATTCTTTTGCCCAGCATGTGCCATTGAAGTCCTTAATAGTGCAATTTTTTTTGGTAGGGCTAAAAGGTATCCTTTTCTTTGGCAGAAAATAATATCTTTAAATATTTCTCTGGTTCATCATATAGGTTTAATTTAACCACCGCACAAAAAAAAGTTAGGATGTTATAAAAATTCGTTGTACTTTCCGAATTTACTCTTATCAAAAGCCAACATTATATTAATAATAATAAATTAATTACTTATAATATTTAATTATACACAGAAATTGAATAAAAAATTAAATATTCTAAATATTATTAAGTTGAACTTATATTTTACATTATTAAAAGTAAGAAAAAGTAACATATATATTATGAACAGGAAGAGCACATCATACCTGAGAGGCTGAGACCATAGGATGTCTGATTTCATCATATCTATTAATTGTCATGTCTAGAAATTCCTATTTAGTGGGCCAAAAAAATGGAAATTTATATTTTAAAAAAATCATAGCATTTACTGAGTTGGGAGATTTGAAAAAAAAAAAGTTAAAGGCTCCTTACATGGGAGTTTTGCTACTTTCTTTTGTTACTCTTTTTAATGAACCACTTCCTTTTATAATTGTGATATCATTTTGTGTCTTATTTGTTATTTAAAAATTGCATGACAACATTAATTACTATTTTTCCGGTTGCACCTTATTTTTACTCATCTTAGAAATTCTGTTTTCTTTTTTAATTTTAATATATGTATAATTTCAACGTAACAAAATAAGAAAGAATTTAAATCCGTTAAATTTCTTAATCTTGCTTGTGGAAGATCTCTTCTTCTGCTTGATCCAATCACTTTTGAAAGTTAATCCAACATTAATTATTAAAATTAAGGGTATATAGGCAAAAGAAACTTGGCACATTAATTGTATTTCTTCTGCTGGCAAAAAAAAAATTGTATTTCTCATTTTGACCCTTTCTCTTTGCCAGCGCTCAGTTTGAACCATTTAAAACTTAAATGACAGGTAATAAGAAAAAAAAATGAAAAGTATCACGGACGAAATTTGAATATTGCATTTTGAGCATCATGGGCGGAGCCTGAGCCAGCCTGCGACCGAGGCTCGTTTGGACTTTGGATTAATATCTGTAAACATAACTTTTTTGGGTTAATATAATCTTTAGTTCTTCAAGTTTGTTATCATTTTGGTTTTAGTCTCTTAAGTTTTACATTATAAATTTTGATTCCTTAAAAGGAAAACTAGTTTTAAGTTTTTGTTTGATTATAGAGACCAATGTTTCAAATGAAAAAAACTTGAGGGACCAAAACTAAAATGATAGTAAATTTAAAGGATTAAAGTTTGTATTAACTTTTTTTTTTTATTGGTGTAGGTACAAGTATTCTCCTTTCGGAGGTATCCTTAGACACTAAATATAAGTATTTTTTCCAGCAATGATTTGAACTTTGATTCACTATATTGTGAGGGACTAACCCCTCATTCTAGACCCAACCTCCTGTTGGTTGTAAAGATAACTTTTATCTTAATTGACTTTTACAAATGAAAGCGAGATAAGAGTCAATTAATATAATTTGATTTATATTTAAATAGACTTTTATATAAATATAAATAGGGTGTTTGGAATAGCTTTTCACTTTTTAGAAATAATTTTATATAATTTAAAATAAGTATGTGAAAAGAGTTTTATTTGACTTGAATAAAGATATTTTTTTAAGTGATTATTGTTCGGTAGTTTGACAAAAATTTGTTTCAATGGTATGTTAAAATGTTAGTTTTAAAATGCTTAAATGTGAAGAAAAGCTAAATTGATGGAGTGAAGTTTAAAAAAATTTATTTCAATTTTAAAATGACTTGTAAATTTTAAGTAAAACAATTATTTTGCTTGAAGCGCTTATGCGTAACATTTTTGTTTTCAACTGACTTTTAAAACTCCAAAAATCAAATTTAAGATCCCAAACAAACCCTGGCTGTGGGGGGAAGGGGGCGGAGAAAGGCCAAAATTAGTTTAAATATTTTTCTTTTTGAGTATTTGTCACGTATAATTTTATCAAACCAAATTCTTATAAAATTAAAATTATGGAGACTAAAATCAACAATTGAAAAAAAAAGGACTAAAATCAAAATTTAATTAAACTATAAAAACTAATAATAATATTAGCCCAATTTTCATAAAAAGAAATAGGACAATGCTCGTCTTTGATACTCTTCCGATTCTAAATATAAAATTTATTTTGTAGTGTAAATTAGACTACAAAATAGGTTTTATATTTAACACCAGAGCAGTATTATCATTCTTTACTTAAATGTGAATTCTTCAATATGATATTATGGGCGCATCAGAAACATTATTATTACGGGTCCAACCGTGAAACGTGGAAATGAAGAAAGAACGCCAACTCGAACAAATTTTTATTAATTAAGAATTTGATTAGAAGCTATTTTAGCCAAATAATCATATTTTTACAATCTGAATTTATGTCTTTCAAAGGGTGAAGCATGTCATGCGGCCAGTCTTTTGCAAAGCATGCATGTGCTATTATTTTGAAGCCCTTTGCCCCTTTGACTATCTATCTATCTATTTATTTTTGCCTAATCAATATATTTTGATATCTCATACGTCAGATTAAAGTCTAGCATAACTGTCATCTATAGAAAATTATTCTAATATTTACTGCAACTACTTTATGGTAATGATTTGAAGAGAGAGATAAAAATGTGAGGGGGGAAAACGAGGAATTTTTAGCAAGCATCCAGTTTCATGCTAGGCTTCCATTATGAAATATCCAATGCAGGACGGCCATTTTTGTTTCCTTGATCAATTTCTACCTGATATTGGGCTGATCTTGACGAAGGAGGTAAATGTTTGCTTAGTAAAGTTATCCAATTTTTATTACAAAAAAAAAAATCTAACAGAGTTGCGCGAAAACAAAAGATAAGAAGAGTGTGGGCATCGGAAAACTTCCTAGGCAAAGAAGCCTGCGGAAGCAAATTATAATAATTAAGGACGGAGGTAGTAGGTTTTATATTAAAGAAGAAGGTGGCATTTCTTTTTTCTTTGACAAGAGTGTAATTCCCCGCCATCTAATGACAGGCAGTTGGCATAAGAGTTTAGTCTTATTAGAGCTCGTGCTTTTAAGTCCTTCTTGTTTAATTTGGAATTTTTTTAAAAAAATAATTAGGAATTTTTTTTGGTTGGTTAGATTATCCTTTCACCTGAACGGTGAGATATTAATCTCTCAAGATATTATCAGGTACCATAGCGGAAATTCCTCCTAACAATGTTTTTTTTTCATATACACTGCTTTAAGGATCGAACTCAAAATATGATATTTAAGGTATCCAAATCCCTTTCATTTCGATCAACACTTGTTGGTAATAATTAGGATTTTTTTTGCTAAAGTATAGATATTTTCATATTAAAAATAATCTTATTCGAAATATTGTCAGATATTAAATGTGATCATCTTTCATAATTAGGAAATTTTATTCAAAGAGAAGTGGAAAAATAAAAAAAGGGTACCCTGCAAAGTTTGGGCTCGCTTATAATGGATTTTTAACATGAAAGCGTAAATGAGGGCCCAATCCATAATCCACGGAAGCATTAAAAAAACAGATATAAAACACGCAATAGCACGGCAGCAAAAGGGTGAGACATATGACCAAGTTGACATGTGTTCGATCTTTGGGGAGTATCACTTTGTTGTGGTTCCAGTCGTGGCGCTTGAGGAGGCATCCTAGCTCTTGGGTGTCTAGGTAAACGCCTGAGGGTAATTGACGGCTCGCCCTGTCCAGTATTGGTATGACCTAGGAGGAAGGGAGATTTCGCCCTGCCTTTGGATCGTGGGTGAGCCTAACCCCTTTCCAAAAATTTTGTAACCAAAAAACCAAAAAAAAAATAGCATGGTGGCAGAAAATGAGCGAAAATTTAAAGGTTTGTTTGGATCAACATTGTAAAAGTGCTTATAACTATTTTTACACAAAGTAAAACAAAATTTTTCTCATATACTTATCGCATATTCCGTAAATCATGTTTGAAAAGTTACTTATAAGTCATTCTAAACAAATCTTAAGGGGGTGTTTGGCAATTCTCAAAAATTTCTGTAAAACAAGGCAAACTCTTCCACATATTTACTTCGTAAACTGTAAAAACACTTTTAAAATCATGGTTTAGTTTCTATTCAAACACCCCCTAAGACTTCTTTTGGAAAGCCCAGCAAAAATAAAAAAATTGTTTATTTCAATCACCATACGAATTGAGTCGAACTTTATATTTTATGGAAGGCTAAAGTGTATATTTGATCATTTAATTTTATGTAAGGTTTCAGTTTAGTCCCTTAACTTTAAAAAGTATATTTTTAGTCCTTTAATTCTAAAATTATTAGTCTTAAATGATAATTTTTTGTAACAATCATGGCTATTTTGAATATTAAACTTAATGTATTAGCATTTAGTATTGTTTTATCAACATTTGAAAGTTTAATATCATCATTTTTTGTTAACAGTTTTAGAATCAGAGACTAAAAGTTTATTTTTTCTAAAATTTTATTTTTTAAAGTTAAGGAATTAAAATAAAATATGTAAAATTAAAGGACTAAAAGTATACTTTAATTTTTACGAAAAGAAGCACTCAACTTATGGATCTTCCGATTGAGGGATTTTCAATTTTTTTTCCTTTTTGTCTTTTGCCAAAATATGAGTATATTTCATCACTATTATGGAGTGTCATGGTTACTACTTGTTTATTAGGATAAATTAATCTCTGGATCCTTATAATTTTATCTGATTTTTAATTAGGTTCTTATAAAATTTTTTCTTTTTATCAGATTTTTTTACTTTCACATGTTTTTAATTAGGTCTCTCTATTTTTTTTTATTTTTATCTGGTCCTTATAGTTTCACTTATTTTTTAATTAGGTCCTTTGTAGTTTTAAAAAAATGTTTATTAACTTTATTCTGTAAAATTAATTTTATTTTTAAATTATAATTATATAATTGGACAAAATAATAAATATAATCATTAAGTAATTAATAATTAATTATACTTAACTATAAATTATTTATAATTATATTCTAATTTTAGAAAATTTTATTATTATAATTTGAGTTTTATAATTATGAACATTAGAATTGAAAAATAAATAATAGATATTTAACTAAAAATTTTAAAAAATATTAACATAAGATTATTATAATAATTTATTATTTATTGAATATTCTTATTTATAGAATAAAGAATAAAAACTACAAGGACCTAATTAAAAATAAGATAAAACAATATAGACCTAATAAAAAGAAAAAAAATTATAAAGACCTAATAAAAAGAAAAAAATTATAGGGACTTGATTAAAAACTAATTAAAACTATAAGGACCTGTATATTAATTATCCTTCAAAGAATCTCTCACACTTTTGGAAACTCATTTGTATCTGTTTACGCAATCCAATTAAGCTATGTCTACAATTCTATTCTTCTGTTGTTATTTACCGGGGTAATTTTAACATATTTTATATAGATTAAAAAAAAATTTAAACTGCGTTAACTCTTTTTTAAAATATAATAACTTTTTGACCTTACTCTTATTTAATATATACCGATATGGTCATTTTTAATTGTCAGTTATAATAGTTTCTCACATACTAAAAAGATTATTAAATACATAAAATCTTTCATTTTTATCCTTATTAAATAGCTAATATATTATTTTTCTGATCCATTCCCTTTCTCTTCACCTTTATTTTTGTCTTCCTTAATTAATAGGGGCAAAATTGAAAATGAAATATTAAAAAAGATATAAGTGGCAAATAAAAAGGATCAAAATCGTCTCCTATAAGTGACAATTAAAAAAGACTAAAGTTGTACACCTTTCCAAAAAAAAAAACTATTCATACTATAATAAATAAAAGACATAATAATATATTTATACTCTCCGCTTTATAAATAAGACCAGAAAAATACAGAAAATGATGTGTTTGCTAATGCAATTACCAAAACTTCAAGAAAAAGGTAAAAATAAAAAAGTTAAATGTATAATACTCTTTTTGTTCTAAATGTAAGACCCATTTTGTTATGTAATTTACACTACAAATGAGTTTTATATGTTAGGGCTAGAGGAGTAATAAAGAGAGATACAACTTGCTGGCCCTAATGTTAATTAACTTGTAAACAGTGAATGATATGAAAAAAATTACACCATTTACGACATCAGTAAAATAACTTATTATGCTATGTGCTTTTTAAAGTTAAAATTCTTCCCATTATTCTCCTTTTAATTTAATTTTTTATTTTGACCTTGAAGTCTTCATGGTGAATATGATAAGGTGTTTGCCATGATTTTTCTTGTTTTTATTTGTATTTATTTGCGTTTTATGTGGTTCCATTTTTTTAAGAAGAGAAAAAAAAAATTACCAAGTTGAATTTAAAAGGACCAATTTTGGTGTTCATTGAAAAGATGAGTACCATGATGCTTGTTGTTGTAATAAAATCTACACTATTTAAAGACAATTTTAGTGATCTAGATCTAAAATTTTCAAATTATATGTACCTATTAAAGGAAATCATTTTTTAGAAAAAATTTAAAAATTGGCCATCCATGTTAAATTTGTAGATTGAAATTTCATACGCATTGTGATGTTCAGATTCCGAATTAAAATATTACATCGGGGCCTCATCAAAAGTAAATCTTTCGATGAGATTTTCCTTTTTCATCATCAAGATTCGAACTTTCCACGTTATTAAAGGGCCAAAAAATCGACTTTGCTTTGTATCATCTAGTGTTTGTTAGAATTTATTTTATCATTTCTTTGAGTTGAGCCCTTGATCTGTATGCACATGGCACCGCAGCCTTGTCACCTAAAGATTATGTGGCAAAAAATTGGTGCATTTTAGAAGAACATTCACCTTAACAAAGAAGATTTTGTGCGTGACTAGTTCTCATCAGGAGTCCAAAGGTAAAAAGCATTCGTTCAAACGACCCACAGGAGTTGACCCAGGTCAATCCATATGAAAAAAAAAAAAAAAGAGGGCTCGTTCAAGATGCAAGTGGATCACAAATGACAAGTCTTCTGCTTCTTTGGCCATAAATGAGAAATCTATTGAAAGAACAAACACGTCATATGAAAGGGTACGTAATTTCTTCTGATTTTCTCAAGTAAAACGTACAGCAGATATGGGCGTTCCTGACTTTTCATGTGGACGTCATTTGCTTTGGCTTCTCTTCTTCTTCTGACCATGGAATCATGCTCCTCACTCACACCTGTTGACAACTACTTACTCGCTTGTGGTTCTTCTGTTGATATACGCTTCGAGGGTCGAACTTTTCTCCCTGAATCTGTCTATGATAAACGTACTTTACAATTGAAAAGCCAGAAATCTATTGCTGTTACCACTCAATCTCGTGCTCCATCTCCAATCTACCAGTCAGCCAGAATCTTTTGGGGTAGAGCTTCATATATATTCAGAATTGGACATCCAGCTCAGCACTGGATCCGCCTCTACTTCTACCCTTTCCCCAACTCTCACCAGAACTTGCCTTCTTCCTCAGTAACAGTAGTCGCTGATGGGGTTGTGCTTCTCAAAGATTTCAACTTCATGAGTATGGTGGCTCTCACTTGTTCAAGGAATATGTAATCAATATCACATCCCCACAATGACCCTCACATTCATCCCTTCTGCCAACTCATCTGTGTTTGTTAATGCAATAGAAGTTGTCTCCACACCGGGTGATCAAGGCATTTATGCAATCAACAACACATCAGTTCATCTGTTGCATCTTTCAAAATTTGTCCTGGAAACTGCTTACAGGTTAGATATGGGCTATGAATCCCTCACCACTCGGAATGACGAGCTTGGTCGGAACTGGGAGGGTGATGAGAAATACTTGGCCTCCAATAGTAGGGCGCTGAATATTTCAATTGATACTAAAGAAAGCAATTTTCGATACCTTACGTCTGTCATAGCACCAGATTGGGTCTATGCTACAGCCAAAGCCATGGCAGATGCAGGAAGCCCCGACTTACGTTGGATCTTCTCTGTAAATCCAAATGACAACTATTTTGTTCGGGTACACTTCTGGGATATCATAAGCAGCCCGGAAGAGATGGGAATGTTCAACCTGTTTATCGATGGTGTAGCTTATGAAAGACTCCGTCTTTACTCTCCAGATCCTAGAATTTCTGGGCAGGAGCGACATTACATGGATTTTGTTGTGTCTACAAGAGGAAACAATTTGACAGTAACTGTTGCTCCTGATAGAACGACAAATAGTACAAATGCTACCATGAACGGGCTGGAGATAATGAAGATCATTGATGAAGTTAGAGCCTTGGATGGAAGGGCTTGCGTGGAATTAATAGTTGGATCTATCTTGGGTGCTGCAGCCTTCCTAGTTCTCATTGTAGTAACTTTATGTTACTTGAAAACTCACAGGTCAAGGGCAGGCTCCAGAGGCACAACCAGATCATGTAGGCTTTTCACTTTGCAAGAAATCAGTGAAGCAACTAACAACTTTGAGGAGGGTCTGCTTCTTGGAGAGGGTGGTTTTGGCAAAGTCTACAAAGGAATGATGAATAACGGGAAAGAAGTAGCCATCAAAGTGGCTAATCCCCAATCAGGACAGGGTCTTCGTGAATTTGAGAATGAGATTGAATTGCTATCCAAGCTCTCTCATCAGAATCTTGTCTCTTTGATAGGATACTGTAATGAAGACTCTCAAATGATTCTAGTCTACGAATTCTTGGCGAATGGATCTTTGAGTGGTCATCTCCATGGGACAAACTTTCTTCCTTTATCATGGAAGCGAAGACTGGAAATATGTGTTGGGACTGCGAAGGCTCTTCATTACCTACACACAGGGGCTCCTCGAAGTGTAATCCATCGCGATGTTAAGACAGCAAATATTCTCTTGAATGACAATTTTGACCCAAAAATTGCTGATTTTGGAATCTCAAGAAAAGGTCCTCCTCTGGATAAGAGTCATGTAACAACCTTGGTAAAGGGCAGCTTTGGTTATATTGATCCTGAGTATTTCAGAACAAAATATCTCACAGAGAAATCAGATGTTTTCTCATTTGGAATGGTTCTGATGGAAGTTATGTGTGGCAAGTCTGCTTTAGACGACACTCGTCCAACAGAGCATCTTAATCTGGCAAGATGGGCATTAAGCTGCCAAGAAAATGGCACCTTTCATGAGATTATAGACCCATATTTGATCGGTAAAGTGAACTTAGATTCTCTACACAAAGTACGTGAGTTGGCTTGGAAGTGCTTGGAGGAGAGTCGCATAAATAGACCATCAATGGGGTATGTACTGTGTGAGCTTGAAGATGCTCTTCACCTTGAGTTGGCTTTACCAATTCAGCAAATTTCTGCGGATTGTGCCATCAATATGGTTGCAGAGAATGGAATCAAGGATGAAGAGGAACAAGACTTCCCTGCAAATCTCGTTCTCTCAGTTTAATGACTTTAAACCCCTCTCTCTGGAGGGCATTTTGGAGAAACGCTTGAAGTTGGCTTGATATGTTCTTAACTTATTCAAAAAATTACTATGAAGTGCGAAAGAAAGAATATAATTAAAAGCTTATAGTTTTGATTATTTGGCTGGTTGTTTGTACTTGTCTGTATATTTGATTGAGACTCTCTTGTATCATGTTTTGATCATAGTGGATCCATTTTCTATTGATCTAGATGACCCATGATTTTTTCTGTTGTATTGAGGGGTTTTTTACATTTGGTATCTCTAGTGTTATTTATTTTCTATCATATATTTATTTTTCTTTCTCAAATATTTTTACAAGTGGTGAGAGAATATTTTGTACTTATAGATTATTCACCAACAAGATCCTCATATTGACAAAAATCACTACCTTGTAGGTTATGAGCTGACTTTTTACTAATTAGATCAATTCTTATTGATGAGTTATATGTTTTTCTTATCACTAGTGATAGATAATTGGTAATGAGTTCAGTCCTATTGGAAGCACTGCTTGTAATCTATTCTTCTTGTTTGGAAAAGGCCAGATCTGTAAAATACAGTGAGCCCAGAATCTCTTGGATGATAGAATACGGATGCTTGATTTTGGTCATGTTTGGATTTCTGTTTGGAGGAGTAAAAGCTTATGGAAAAGTGTGAAACTGAGGTTTGAGGCTTTTTGGGATTCAACTGGCTGTTTGGATGGATTAAGATGCCAACTAACTTTTGGGCCAAACTACCGGTGCGTTCCAATACTCAGACTTATAACTTTTGGAGCGTTTAGGAAGGTGCCTTCCTGCCTTTTCCAAGCTTCTCCCTCTCTCAGCCTCACCCACCTTCTCAATTTCATCCACCATAGCTGGGAACAGGGGAATCGCAATGACTCCAAAAAGGATTTTAGTAGAAAAAGAATTAAAATCTTAAACAAACACTAATAAATTCCCAAACTAGAGAACAAATAAGTTTTAATTTATATTCATATTTATCCATTATATATGTTTAATTATCTTGGTAACAAATATTTCTATTTTATAATTTCACAAATAAACTATTTTTATTTTATCATAATAATTTTAGGTATTTTTTTAAATATTATCAAATTAAAAACATAAAATATCAAACACTATTATTTAATAAAGTTTATATCCTTTCCAGCCATTTTCAACTAAACTAACTTTTTTATTAATCATTCAACAACTTTCAACTTTTTCAACTGACTTTTTATAAGCACTTATTTAAACATAAATCACATTACACTAACTGGCTTTTACTCTGACTTCAGTTACAAAAATCAGTCAGACTAGAAGTCAGTTTTACCCAGTATTAATCCAAACACACTCTTTATCTTCACCCAGAGCTACGTTTTATTTCCTATTATCAGAAAAGCAAAAGCCACATTTCTTTATTTTTGATATCGTGTGGGCTTTTGACCCAAAAAAAAAAAGATATCGTGTGGGCCATTGGTCTACGTGTCGTATATTAAAAGAAAGCAAGAGCTGCCTTTCTTTTATAACAAATTATCTGATAAAAGAGATTGACCAAAAGAATTTCTAGTGAGAATCCGAGGCCCCAGTTTTAAAATCTAATGAGATTTGTTCTGATATATTGATATTGAAATTATTAACCAATTTAGAGAATGACATGATTATGCTTGGATTGGAGTTTAAAAAAGTTGATTTGTAAAAGTGAGATTGGTAAAAAGTTGTTTGGATTATGATTGAGTAAAAATAAGTTTGACTGTAAAATTACCAAAATGGGTATGAGTTTTAAAAAATAATGAAATATGATTACAAAAATAATTTTACATAATACAATGAATTTAAAATAATTTAATATGAAGAAGTGAAATTTAACAAGTTAATTAAATTTTAAAAGTTTAGAAAAATCATAAAAAATATTTTAAATGTAAAATAAAACATGAAAAAAAAAGAATGGGAGGAAGTACATCAAGAATCTATTTTATGATGGCATATAGATTGAAGCAGTTTGAATGGGAATCACATGACTTTTGATTTTACCCAAAAAAAAAAAAATTTGGTGTGCGTGTGTGTTATGACTTTTGAGTACTAAAATTTAACTTTATTACTCTTTTGAAAAAAAAGGAAAAGAAAAAAGAAAAAATAACTTTCCTAATTCCCACTACCCTTTGTCGGACTCGGAACCTCTCCATTTCCTTACTGTCCATTCTCCCTCCACTTCCCTAATCTGGACCATTCATTAAATCCAATTGCTCATATTTTCACAGCACACTACAAACCCCCTCCCCTCTCTCCCACCGCCACTTCTATTTTACTTTAGCTTCTCCCCCTTCCATTTCATCTCACAACAGAGATCTTGTTAAATGAAATGGCTCATGTTTTTAAAACACAATTCAAAACTCCGCCTCCCCCTCATTCGATCTTCCCTTCTTTTCCAACTTGGCCTCGCCCCTGTTGCAGAATGAGATCTGAATGAGGTGAAGCTTAATTGAAAACGAATGCTGAAATCCAATGCAAATATGAAGATCCTAATTTTTTAATTTAATAAGACCTCCGTTGGCTGTTGCAGAATGAAATAGAAGAGGGCGAAGCTGAATTCAAATAGAAGAGATGGGGAGAGAGGAGAGGGAGTTTGTAGTGTGTTGTGAAAACATGACCCACTCGATTTGACGAACGCTCTAGATTTGGTAAGTGGAGGGGAAATGGACAGTAAGGAAATGGAGAGGTTCCGAGTCCACCCTTTGTCACGCATGAGGCTGCTGGTCCGCTGACGAATGGGACCCACATGTCCACACGTTATGCTCAGTCACTCCACGATATCTGACACATCACAAAGGTAAAGCCAGTAAGCTCTTCAAAATAAGCTTCTTTTTGGGGCTTCCATTTGAACGCATGCTGGGTGAGCTTATTCCAGACAAACTTAATGGCTTAAACCCTCCCAAACTAGACAATATTTTCAATCAGGCTTCTGCCCAAAGTAAGTAGCTTCTCACCCAATTTAAGCCTTCTTAAATGGATACTCAGCTTATTCAATTTAACTTTTATCTAATCTTACTTTTGAAAGTCATATTAAAAATAAGCTACTTTTTCTATTGCCAATCCAAACGAACCCTTAGGAAGATTCTAAGTTTTTGCTTTGACCATTTTTTCCCAAGGTTTTCTTAGCCTAAGAATTATGAACAAACACAAGCTATCAGGAATTGCTACACTTTATAAAATTTGGTATGGTAGAGTTAGTATCCATGACGCACCTGGCATGCACACTTGAAAACATACTGCTAGAGTTGTGTAACTCAAGTCTAGGACTCGGGCATCAACCAATCCTACTGTTATAACATATTGCAGAATATATATGGGGATAAACCAGCAGATTTGGGCATGCTGGAACTGTTCATGTGGATGCAATTTGCTTTGGGTTTTCTTCTAGGCATGGGTAATGAATCATCTTCCTTATCCATACCTGCTGAAAATCACTTGCTCGCTTGTGGCTCTTTTGTGAACATAACCTTTCAGGGGCATCAAGTTGCCAAGAAAAGGGCACGAGAGACACTTGAAGTTGGCTTGCTCATGTCATCCAGCGAAGATAGAGCCAGTACTTGGTACAAGCTTGGGCGTAGCTTTTTCTTTCTTTCTTTCTTTCTTTTGATTTTGTTTGTGTTTTTTGTTTAAGTTTCTTCCGTTTCTTTCTACAGGTCTTTTAAACCAATGATAGAAATATATAATTAAATGTTAGAGTTTTCAGTAAAAAAATTCTAATATATTCTTAACTTATTCGAAAAATTAGTATGAAGTGTCAAGGAAGTAATATAATTTTTGACTTTTGATTGTTTGGCTGGTTGTTTGCACTTGTTTGTGCAATTGATCAAGACTCTCTTGTACCATGTCTTGATCATAGTAGAACCATTTTCCATTGATCCAAATGACCTGTGGTTTTTATCCTTGTATTGAGGAGTTTTCTACGTTGATGTTTTTTGGGTCTCTAGTGCTATTTAATTTCTGCTATATATTTGTTTTGCTTTCTCAAAGATTCCAGTCGATCGCTCGGGTACAACTGGCCCCAGCCTCCTTGTACCCGAGCGATCTGGAAGCTTGACAGAGAAACAGTTAAATCAGATAGCTCGCACATAATGACAAGTAGTGAAAAGATGTTCCATATATAAAAGCTCGAGTTATTGAAGTAATGCTTTTGGAGAATGTTAGCTGCAGGGAGTGCATTTGATGGGAGAGAGATTGCCCAAAAGATCTCCTAGTAAGAATCCGAGGCCCCTGTTTTAAAATGTGATCCAAGACTTATTCTGAAAATTTTTAAACTGAATTATTAGCCAATTTAGAGAATGACACGATTTTTTTTAAAAAAAAAGTGTCATCTATTTTCCTGACGGTCATTTGTGGAGAGAAAAAAAACTAAACTCATAAATATTCCACGAACTTATTTAATTTAGCAATTCAATTATCAAACTTGCCACCGACTAAACTGAAGGTGTGATTTTTCATCATCCAGCGGGCAAAGTCATGATGCGTTCACTTCCAGCTATATTAACTTGGCGGCATAATTAATTCTGCAAACGTTCCTGAGACCCAAGTGAAAAAAAAAGTACAAATTGCGCTTTTTTTTTTTTTTTTTTATAAAAATAATAAGGCAATTTTATTTTAAAAAAAGTAAAAAAAGTATGGTATAAAATTTTAACTTGATGCATAAATTAGAGCCCAATCCATAATCCACTGAAGCATAAAACAGATCCAAAAAAAAGAACCCCAAAATGAACTAGAAATAGATCAAATGAAAAGACCCAAGAGGGAAAATTTAAAGCAACTTCCTGAGACCCAAGTTTGAAAAAAAAAAAGGGAGCACAAATTGGCTCTTTTTTTTTTTTTTTTAAATCCAGTTCTTCATTCAAAAAAAAAAAAAGAAGCAACTTCGCCACTAGCGCCACCTCTCCAACCCCATGCATGGGATAGGTCCTGGGATTTAAATTGTTTTTAATTGAGAGATAATTGATCTTTGAATTGTTT